ACATTATATTAATTAGCTGAAATAACAAGCTAATGAATAGATTGGTAATCCTTTGTACTCAGCAGCCCCACCTTTCATGCACAGTTCAGTTTTGTAAACAGAATGTAAAGGCTCATGCACAATACACAAATAATGATACTAAATAAAGTAAAAATCAGACTGTGAATTTAAAAGAAGTCTACATAAAAACATCAAGATTATTAGTGTATTGCATTCGTTGCCTTTATGTTGTAACCATGAATGTATTGAAGTTCAAAACTTTGGCATAGAGCAATGTAATAATTCATCAGGACACTTACAGAGAAAGGTAGGGAGTTTTTGATGTGTATATAAAGCCTGTCTGTAATTCTTTTTTTTTAACAGACCTGCTGACTGACTTACATTTCCACACCAAATACAGAGGTCTTCTGGTGGAGTAGGAATTCAACACTGTGACATGATTTATATAATAGAGAATTTAAAAAAAAAATACCTTCAGTGTTTCAGTCTGCTTGTGGCCTCTTGTGTTGGTGTTGCCTCGTTGTGCAGGACTTGGAAAGTAGCTGTACTAACAAAATATGCAACAGAAAAAGAACAAAAATCGTAGAATTATGAAGAAAAGAGGAGGAAAGACAAAGGTGATGGTGTCATGAGCAAATAGGTCAGCCCAGGAGCATTTTAGTCTGTGTGAAGGCCTGTAGCATTAAAAAGAAAGATCACAGAATCAAAGCATTGTTTGGATTGGTAGTGACTCTTAAAAGGTCTTGTAGCCCAATTCCCCTGCAATACAGGAAGGTTGCTGCTATCAGGTTGCTCAGAACCCCACCCAGCCTCACCTCAAATGTTCCCGGGGTGGAGCATCTGCCAGGCTCTGGGAACCTGTGCCAGTGTTCTATCACCCTCATAATAAAAAACTTCTTCCTTATATGTAATCTAAATCACCACTCATTGCATTTCAAACCATTACTCCCTGTCCTGTAGCTACAGGCCCTGCTAAAATGTTTGTGTCTTTTTATAAAAGCCCCTTCAAGTACCAACAGGTTGCAGTAAGGTCTCCCTGAAGCCTTCTCATCCTCAGTCTGAAAAACTCCAGCCTTTCCTCATAGGCATCTCACAGGAGAGGTGCTCCTGCTCTCTGATCACCTTTGGGGCCTCCTCAGGCCCTGCTGCACCAGGGCTGTGCCTTTGCTGTGCTGGGGACCGCAGAGTTGGATACAATACTCCAGATGGGGTCTCATGAGGGCAGAGTAGAGAGATGGAAGCTCCCTTGAGCTGCTGGTCTTGCTTCTTTTTCTGCAGCCCAGGATATGCTTGGCTTTCTGGGCTGCAAGCATACATTGCTATAGCCCATGTCATCATCTAACCTGTCTTCCTGTATCTATCAGTAATTAACAATTCTTTATGTGGTCACCATTTCATTTTACCCAGTGAATTATCCTTACTGCTTGGGATCACAGTTTCTAGGCAATGAGAAAAAAAATGGTGTGCCTTGAAAAAATAAACATTTGGATCTGAGCCTTTGTAAAGGTGAGCTGATCCCACAGTAAGGCAGTAACAAATGGCAGGTTTTATGTGGCAGGCATGCCAAACATTGTTTCCCAGGACTTGTAGGCGAGTGTTGGCATCTTGGTTCCCGCTCTATTGTAAGCATGCCTATTTTAAAATGCATCCAGTTCTCCTCCATCTGAGAAGCTGGTGACCCAGGCACTGGGAGAGTGACAAGTGGCTGTAATTATACAAAATCTAATGGTATATTAAATGCAGAAGAGCAGAGTTGGATTCAGTGTTGAACTGAAGTGGGGAGCGATTGACTGATGCTGTAGTTTGCTGTGGAGGCTGTGGAATCTCCTTCCTTGAAGATGTCCAAGACTCAGCTGGATGTGGTCCCACACAAGCTGATGGAATTAGATCTAATTAGACATGCTTTCAGCTGAGGTTGAGTTCAATGCACTCCAGAGGTTCCTTCCAGCTTGAATTACTATTTGATGCTGTGAAGGGGCAGTTTGTCCTGAGGACTTAGTGTGCCAGGCTCCCCACGGAATCCAGAGGTGTCTTTGTGCTGGCTGTGCCCATGGAGCATGGAATCCCCCAGGAGGAAGTTTCTGCCTGCCAAGTAGAAGACAAACTTCTTTTGGTGTTTCTTTAGTTCCACAAACTTGCAAATTACTGATTTTAATCTGAAACTTTAACACCCACCTAATTAGTTCACCTCACAGACAGCAAGAGGCTTTTGTTTGTGTGAGCTTTTTAGATTTGAACTGAGAGAAAAACACATGTGCAATATATTTTTGTTCCCTGTCATTTCTGTTCTGCTTCACTGAGAGTGGCTGAGACTGACTTGAAGTCTGGAAAATAACTGTCAAAACAAAAGTAGGAGATGTAGAATATGTTTGTGCTTACCATTTTCTCAGTGTTGCAATATGGAATGCATTTATTTGGCAGATGAACTGAAAGGTGCCCCCTTCACATACAGAAATTACCAGCTCTCTAAACTAACTAGGAGTTCTTGTTTTCTTGGGCTCACATTATCCTCAGCAGTGGAGGTTTTATTATAATTATAATTAAGTTCAAGATTTGTCCTCACAGATACGTGAGACAGAAAACCACTTTCCTTGTTCTGCATTTTGGTTTGTGTAGTTCAGGAAGCAACTGGGAACAGTAACAATTGATGTGGAGCAGATCTCACACACAGTGATTCCAAGTGTCACATAAGTCACCTCTTCTCAGGAGGGTGTGGGAGCCCAGCAGGACGCTCGGACCCTGCAGCATGAGGTGCCATGAGTGGAGTAAAAGATGCCTTGGGATTGAGTGTCTTTGAGAGGGGACTCTTCAGACTAGAGTAGTTTTTAATGGTGGGGTTTGGTTTGTTTTTTGTTTGGATTTTTTTTTTTTTAATGAATAATCTATTAGCCTTTCTTAATTTCTTGTTAGAAGGTTGTGGTCAGGACTGTATCCATAAATATCTGTAAATGTAAACTAACTTTTTTTTTTGTGATGGAAAATTCTGAACAGCTCTAACTGTATTGACAGAGGCATGGAACTGAATTGATGACTATATCTATCTGTGCTGACAGGTTATTAATAGAAATTACAATCAAGCTGGACTTACGACTGTAATAAGAACACTGTTTTTCAAAGGTGATACCAAATCACAGTTATCTGAATATGTAGTATCTTGATTTGATTTTTATTGTGCACAACTTGCTGTATTATGGAAGGTAAATAAGTTGCTCATTTCACTGGCATACCACATCAGTTTGCTCATTTTTGTTGAGAAATCCTTGATCATCTTATAAATTTTGATTTTTTGAGATGAAGCTTTGAAGTACATTATTTTTGTGGAATGATAGGGAAGATGAAGGAGGCAACATAAATGTACGTAGATGCTTTCAGTCTTTTTCAGACTCCTGCAACAAATACACCAGTTTTCTGCTTCCTTAGTGTTTAGTTTCTGTAGCCTAGAACTTGTTGGACTTTGGTCTTTTGAGTACCTCTACTAATTAAAGAGGAATAAACAGAATAAAACCCAGATTTTGCAGATTAGAACAGCCATTCAAATCTTGTTGAGGGTTACTTTATTCAGAAACTACAGTCGCACAAGGCATTCTGCTGAATAGAAGACAGGAGGAAGAATTTTTGATGCTTGAAATTTGGAAGAATTTCAGCTGCAGAAAAGAAGGGCACCGGTGAGTTTTTCAAGAAGCAGGAGCACACGCAGCTGACTGTGCTGGATTTTTGCAATTCCCTTCACTGTGCACAAAAGCCCAGTGCTCTGCTGCTCCATTCTTGGCCTTGTGTGATCTGCACAGGACTGAAGCTGAGCAAGGCTGTTCAGTTTTGCTGCTTTTCAGCGTCTGTGCTGCATGTAATCTCAGTGCTGTGAATCTGCCGTTAGTGAGGAGATGGTGCTGTCACCTTGGTCTCCTGTCTGCTGCTCAGTGCTCCCCCCAGGATTCTGCACATCGAGGGAACCCACAGGGACCAGTGTCCAAAGGAGGGGATAAGACATCATTTTCCCTTAACTCTTGTGTTCTGGAGCAGGGCTCTGGGCTGGTTTCCTGCACATCCTGCCTGAGGAGAGGGCAGTGCTGTGGCAGCACGAGGAGCGATGGCAGCGGCCGTGGCCCTGCTGTGGCCTTGGCTCTCTGTGCCCAGAGCCACCCTTGCTGGGGTGTGAAGCCCAGCTCCTAAACCCTGCAGAGCTTCCCTGGCTTTGCCTTGAGCACAAGCCTCAGCAATCACAGGCTGCTGCTTGCAGAGCTGCTGTAATTGCCCTTCTCTAACAAGTGAAGTTTTCACACCTGGAGATGGTGAAGTTTCCTGGCCCTTTGTTGGTCGGGAGATGTCTGCCAGGGCTGTGTTTGAGACTTGTTTCCTGCAGTCCTGGCAATTGCATACCATGCATTCAATGCATAGTTAATTTTACATGAAGTGTTTCTATCTGCCGGACAGTTCCTAGGAAGCACGTGCAAGAAAGGAAGATAAGTGTGTTTGTGTTTGTTTAAAATTGTAGTCAGGGCTTCAGTTGGATGCAGAAAGCTGTGTTCTCTCAAACATTCAGGGCTGCATGTGCCAGTGGGGCAAGATCTTTGTAAGTTTTTGGTCAGCATTTAAAGAGTTAATTGCTGTTTGTATTTGTTATCTTTATAATTCATAATTAATAGATCACTTTATTAAGATGATAGTCAAGCTTCTGCTTATTTTACTGACAAATTTCATGTACAGGAAGCTCACAGGCTTAAACTTGTTCTCTCTCAGGTTTTTCTCATGTCCCCAACCTCTTCCTCCACAAATTTTTTGATACCTGTAGGTATAACTTGCCAATGCTGGTAAGAAACCTTACAATTTCTGCACAGAAAAGTTATGTAAAATAATAAATCATACTTTCTTAAATTTATATTTGCTGCCAAGTGTTTTCTCTCCCTATGCAAATAGGGAGAGTGTTAAATTCTGAAAATGAAATTATGCTTTGTGACCTGCTGTAATTTGGACAAATAAAATACTCATTTTTGTCTCAATAGAAAATTTTTAAAGCTGGGGATACTAACCAGGATGGACAGCTGGATTTTGAAGAATTTATGCAGTACCTTAAAGAACATGAGAAAAAGATGAAACTGGCATTCAAGAGCCTGGACAAAAACAATGATGGTATACCTTGATTTATTTTATTTGTTCAAACATTGTCTGAAGAAACTGCATTGAAAGTAGTGTAACTTAGATTTGTCTGACTGGAAAAAAAGTTGTGAATATGGAATCCTTCTTTTCCTTAACATGATCATAATTAGAGTTTGCTATAGATTAAAAAAAAAATAGTCTTTATTCTTTCTATTTTCTCCACGTACACTGAACTGGGGCTCCTTGTTCCCCAGATGGAGAAACTGTGAGGAAATTTCTGACTATTTCTAGCTATTAAAGGTAAACTTGTTTTTAACTAACTGTATATTTGCATCCTATTTGCTTTGTCCTTGTAGTAGACAATGAAAACACGTCATCTGTGCTAAGTTGATTTTTAAATCATCTTTGCAATTATTCAACTGTTTCAATGAGCTCCAAGGTGCTAAGATCCACATTTTAAATATGTATCATCTTTATTTTAATGTTTCAAGGAAAAATTGAAGCCTCAGAAGTTGTCCAGTCCCTCAAGATATTGGGTATAAACATTTCAGAAAAACAGGCAGAAAAGATCCTGCAAAGGTCAGGAATTATTATTTTTTGAGGCAGCTTAATCTTCCTTGTATTGTTAATTTCTATATTTTTCTGTTTCAGAGAGGGGGATAAATGGGATTATGACTTTGAAAGGTGTTGCTAGTTACTATTGGAGCATCTGGTTCTGGGAGGAGAATGTGGCTTTATTTCTCTGTAAAGGTTGTTGATAGAAGGAAGCACTGTATTATGTTTTTAAATGGAATAGGACTGATGCACTTGGATAAGAGAAGCATAGTTTTGAAAGGCCGTGGCAGATTCAGCCTTGAAGTCACTATATGGAATTTACAGTCAGTTTGGAATTTACAGTTGTTATTGATGTGATAAGTCAAGTTAAAAAAAGAGGGGGGAGGAGGAAGAAAAAAAACCAGAACAAAACCCCACCATTACTATTTCCTTATATAGTTTTGTACAATTTCTTTTCAGTATTGATGCTGATGGGACAATGACAGTAGACTGGAATGAGTGGAGAGATCATTTTATGTTTAATCCAGCTACAGACATTGAAGAGATAATTCGATATTGGAAACATTCCACTGTAAGTTCAACTTCCCTTTTAACCTTGTGCAGCTCTTAAGTTCATCTCTGATGTGTTAATTTGTGATATTGACTATAACAGCTTCACACTTGTTGTGTTTCAAGCATATCTGTATTGTTTGGTTTTCCTTTTCACTTCATGCTGTCCCATTTAGAAGCAGGATTGTGTCAGATGAGTTCCTTCTGAACGAACATCATCATCTAAACTTTGCAAATAATTATCAGTAATTCTTAGGACAGAATCTTTTTCCTCTTTTGGAGATGTTTTACAGAAAAATAATAACCACAATTAAATATTTTTCTTTTCACATTACAGTACGATTTCATTCGTTGAAATAACTTATATAGATATTTTAGCTGTTTCTTATGTTGAAATTAGTATTTGCATTATGTACTATCATTATAATTATCATAAAATCACTGGTGTCTTGACTGGTGATTTTCTGTGCACATCATGCTCTTTTGTGCCGTAGAATTTAATTTAAGCATACAGAATATCCACTGTGCAGAGAAATTTAAGTTTTTATTGCATGGAGCTGTTAACACCTCAGTGACTGATTTTTAAGAACAATAATGAAGTAAGTAAACCAACAGTAATCCTGTTTGCTAAATATCCTTCCTGTAGATTATTGGAGGAAATAAAGTAAGGTTGGATGCCTTTGAATATAGTGAGACCATTTATATCTCCAGGGATTAGTCAGCATTTCCATAATAAAAAACATTTTATGAGATCTGAGAGCTTGGAGTGTTTGACACCGTACAACCTCAGCTGAGGAATGCTTGCCAAAAGGCAGTTAGCTCCCTGTTTGCTGAAGAGAGCACTTGAAGCACTGCTATGAGATCAAATTGTCCTGGTCCTAGCTTGCTTAGTGGAAAAAACCTTTGCTTTCATAAAATGCTCCTTACTAATATTACACATAAGATCTGTATTGTTTGTTTTTTATTATGCAATGTCATTAGTTGCCCCCAAGAAACAACTGAGGGAGTCTGCTGTGATCCTGGTGTTGCAGTCAGCTGATGACCCAGTTATCACAGCAGGCAAAATCCAGCACCACAGCTGGTCTTTGAGATAAGAGCAGATGTGAAACCTCCCAGCCTGGCTGGCATTTACAGACAGCTCTTACAATTCTGTTTTTATTGTATAATTGCTATCAGACCCTTCCAAGCACATGGTTACATTGGCATAGAATTACTATGGTAGCTGTGGCCTTTCTGTTATAAACGCCCTCAAATTTATCTTTTGTCTTCATTAGTTGTGTTTAGATCTCAGTACACACAAGGTTTAAACCCTGGTAGATATGCATAATATCTCTTAGAACACTGAATTTGTTTTGAGAGTTTTGATTGATCTTTTGATGTCTCCATAGTTGAGCAATTTACTTTGAAACCTCAAATGCAAGAAAGATGAAAGGATTTTCCAATTATTTTATAAAGAATTTTATAAAGAATTTTCTTTATTTTATAAAGAATTTTCCAATTTCTCTTCTGTGTTCAATATCCAGAATAGGTGGTGCTTATCCTTTTTGTTCAGTGGCTATGTTTACACTCTGCAGTTTTTGTCCTAAATGACCAGGACAGTATTCTATCTACTGACAGAGAGAGAATGCAGCATAAATTAGGGATATAATGTCACAATGAAAATCAATGGTAGTTCAAAGGTTTATCAGCTAACACGCTTTCTGATCAGTACTTATCAGTTATTAATACAATTTTGTTCTTTTTATAAATTTAATTTATGTGTAATAGCAGATTTGTATTATCTACAGTATACTTTTTCTCATATATGATGATCATAGGTTACACTTAAGAGCAAAAGTGACATGTGAGATTTCATAGTGTTATGTCTTAGTTTTATCATTAAAACATATATTAATGTTGTTCTTTGATCAAATCCAATGGCAATACAAATGTGCCCCCCCTTAGTGAAATGTCAAACTCCTACAGCTGAAAAAAGTAATTATATGTGTCTTTGAGTATAACTGATGATAATAAAATCTATAAGGCATCTGTCAAACTATTCATTTGGTAAGATAAGAACCAGCAGTCACTGGAAATAGAATGCTCTGATATATCAGCTGTTAAAACCCTGCTTTAAAATGCTGGGGAGTCTGGGAGAAGGAGACATCCCACATGTGTGAATAAATTACCGTGAGAGAAATCTCCTGTTAGCAACCTTAGGAGATTACCAAAGTAATCCCACAAGACTGTCTGGTGAAAGGTTAGCTGCAACATATAAGCATTTGAGCTTTAGTGCTGACTTTAAAGGACTGCTGATCATGACAGAATGTCTTTGCTTGGGCCATATTCAAGGAGGAAATTTGTGGTAATTTTTAATGATGATGGTGCAGTCTTTGAAATGGTGGGTCTGTGGTGTTATTGCTAAATATCTATGTAGAAGTCACTTAAAGTTGCTTTTCATTGAATAGCAATGCATAGCAAGTTAATTATAGAATGTAAATTAGAGATATTTTTTATTTGTAGCTAGCACTTTATTTGCACATTCTTAGGTAGTAGCATATTCATTTGGAGTTAGAACTGTGGATAAAACTGAGGTGATGGAACGAGGTAGTTATTTGCACATCTTTGCTTTGGATTCATAAAGGTATTGGATATAGGAGATAGTTTGACTGTTCCAGATGAGTTCACAGAGGAAGAGAAGAAGAGTGGGCAGTGGTGGAAGCAGCTGTTGGCAGGAGGAGTGGCTGGTGCTGTCTCTCGAACAGGCACAGCACCCTTAGATCGCCTCAAAGTCATGATGCAGGTCGGTGCAATGTTCAACAATTTCTTGGTTTCCAGTGTGTCACTTCAGTTTCTAGACATGTCTTGGGAAAAAATGGGGGGGCTAAGGTCAGTGTTTAAATTGCAGAGGTCTGGCTGTGTTTTGACAATTTCTGGTTTTTTTGTGTTCATAAAAATGGTATTTTATAGATGTGGGAAAAATGTAAGCACAATGTTACAGTACTTGTGCTACTAAAATTAGATCTTTTCAATAGTGCATATGGTTTTGTTAGTTGATATATTTAATCAATTTAATATGATGAGTTTTATAATCTAATCAGCCATGTTCTGTACTGTAACTTTGCTTTTGGCTTTTTTTAGGTTCATGGTTCAAAGTCAAACAAAATGAATATAGCCAGCGGTTTTAAGCAAATGTTGAAAGAAGGTGGTGTCCGGTCCCTTTGGAGGGGAAATGGTGTAAATGTTGTGAAAATAGCTCCTGAAACAGCTATTAAGTTCTGGGCTTATGAACAGGTAGGATGATAAATCAATAATGAAAATAAAGCCAAATAAAGTCCTAAATCACTCTCACTGTTGATTATTGGCATTGTTGTATTATATGAGACTCGTCGTCTTGTCCCCTTGTTCCAACTTGTCCCCTTGTTGGGGATTTTGTCATGATAATTTCAGTCACTTTCAGATTTAAAATAGTCTATAGAATGCTTACTACCAGGCAGATTTTACTGTTGTATTCTAAGCAGTGCAAATGAATTATGTCTGTTACATGTTTTAAGCTGTCCCTGATTCTGCATGGCCTTGTGTGGAGTACTGCATTAATACCTTGATTATTGCTGCAAAGTGACAGCAGGCAAAAGCTTGGCACATTATGCTAGCTGAACTTACAGGGGGTTCATTTAAAGTCAAATATCACAGTGCTATGTATGATGCCCTCATCCTGGATTTCAGAGTTATATTTACCTCTGAATCAGCTTTAAGCATCATGTTAAGGCCTAATCCTCCTTTGGAAAATGAACTCCCATTCTGGTGTATTTAAATGAGATTTATTTTTGCTCTGTGAGGCATGCTAGTGCCTGAAGTAAGACCAAATGAGCACACTGCACATCTCTGTACAAGGAGGAGATAAAAACAACAAAAAAAAAATCAAATAAATCTGGGGATGTTGCAAGACTGAACAGCAGATTTTGGTGCCACAGAGGAACTTGGGCACATTATTCTTTACTCATGGAATGACACAGTATGTACAGTGCTCAAACTGCTTCTGTGAAATTGAATCTGTGCTTCTGTGAAATCTTTCATTTTTTGATTGGACAACTGCATCTGCAAGGGAATTTGGTTCCTCTTTGTTTTCTGGAGTTCTTAGTGTAGGTACCCTTGAGTTGGTTGTTTGCAGAATACCTGATGGTACTATGGGTGACTGAGGTATTTAATCTAAGACTTCTTTCAGGCTGGAATGTTGTTTATTGTGTTCTGGAGAATCTTTTTGGGTTAGCAAATGTGACTGTAAATGCATGAAAAACTAAGAACGGCTTGAAAAGACATTTTGTACTATGCTCTTGCCTTTTATAATACCACTACTAAAAATGTGTTTGTGTTTTAACTATACAGTATAAGAAGATACTCACTAGGGATGATGGAAAGTTAGGCACTGTTGAAAGATTTGTATCTGGTTCTTTAGCTGGAGCAACAGCACAAACTTCTATTTATCCCATGGAGGTAAGAGAATCTGCTTCCATTGGAGCCTCAAAAATGTTTGGTTTGTTTCCTAAGTAAACCCCATTTTGCTCTTGAAAATATTGTGAAAATTCCACTCTAGACTGGTACCCTAATTTTTTTACTTTGGACTTCCTTTCAGACTTTCAGTGCTAGGCATTTTAGATTATACTAAGTTCTAACTGATTCTTGTAGTATTTTGCTGTATAGTATTTTTTAAAACAATATTGAAATGAAACCTAGTGAAGGAAAAAAGATCATCCAAGAACATTTATAATTCAGTATGTATCCAAGCATTTTGTAAATTGGGCTTAAATCCTTTTCCTGCTATATGTAAGCAAGGAATAGTGTTGTTTGGACAGATCTGAAGTTCTGCTGTGTTATGATGGGAAGCTGTGTCTGATAATGAGAACTGTGTGGGGGAAGGATGTGAGAGCTACAGCTCAGGCTGGGTGGATTGGCTGCTCTTTCCCCTGTAGGCCATACCTGTAGGTGGTACTGCACACTGCAGTTTAACTAGTGTTAATATATTAACTGCTCCAGTGTAACTGTAACACACCATTTCACAGAAGCAACACGTATTTTCTTTACTGCTGGTTCTCCACAAGGTTTATCACTTGTGCAGATCCTTGTTGGAATAGATGTTGGGGCTGGGACTAAACCAGTACCAACATCAAGTTTGGTAGAAATGGCAAATGTAACCTAAATAGCTTTTTCATGGGTGGGGATTTCAGTAGGAATGGAACTGTTTTTATTGCTGAAGTAATAATGATCTCTTTAAAGAGCATCCTTGCTGTTCCAGAGGGTCAGTCCCAGCTGAGCTAAGTTAGGGAAGAACTGAAACATGATGTAGATTGTCTGGATTACACTGTTCAGGGGAGACAAGGGAACTGTTCTACAATATCTTCTGGTCTTCCTCACAAAGATATGGTGCTGTCCTAGAAGTGTTTTTAGGATGTTTCTAAATAAGAGAGAAAAGCCAAGTGCCAGGAAATTCCTGAGGGAGATGCAATCTTATGAGGCTTTAAAGTAGACCAAATTGTTGCTCAGGAAACTTCCTCTGTGGTTTCTTTTGGATGCTGTTACTAATTTCTTTGTCCTAAGGTGCAGTACAGACTTGCTTGCATTATTAATCAGGTGCTGGGTTTCAGTAGTGAGATACAATTATTCCTTGTATTCCTCAACTACCTCTCTAAGTTTCATACTTTTTGAAATATTATTTTCTTAACAGGCTTTAGTGTTCCCAGATCAGAAGTATCATCTGCTAGCATGTTAGTACTCTCACTTGAGCCTTAGCTAATACTTCTATTGAATGTTGCCTACACTGTTGCCTTCAAGTTGATCAAATAACTGCCTGTTTTAATCAAGAAAATAAAGCTAAAATGCAATTTTAAAAGGTAAGAATTTGTAAGCTAGTGTATAGTAATGTGTGGTGCTCTGCACTAAGGACAGAACTTGAAGAAGCCTGCTGCTAACAATGCCTTAGCAGCAATCAAAAGAGAGTTGCAGCACCAAAGTGCAAAGCAGTTCTAGAGGATTCAATAAGCAGAGATATACTGTATATCTAAAATAGATGAATTAATAGTATGTAATTAAGACTGCTTTTTTTTTCCTTTTAGGTTTTAAAGACCAGATTGGCTGTGGGTAAAACAGGACAATATTCTGGGATGTTTGACTGTGCTAAGAAGATTTTAAAAAGAGAAGGTCCAAAGGCTTTCTACAAAGGCTATATTCCTAATATTCTGGGTATAATTCCTTATGCTGGCATTGACCTTGCTGTTTATGAGGTGAGTTTAGATCACTGAATGCATGTAGCTGTCATTAATTAATTTACAAAAAGCATAAATATATTTAGAATGTGTGCATTATTGTACAATTACAGCTGATTCAATTTTTAAAAGACAAATGAGGCTTTCCACTGATGTTACTAGACCTCAATGTTTCTGTTTGCCCCTCTTGAGGAATGCCTGGGCAGATGGGCCCTTCCATGCAAGAGTACCAAGCAGGAAACGTGCTATGAGAGGATTATAAGACCTTGGCAGTACCACAAGCTTTCATACTTACCTAACCTTGTTAGACTGGAACATACCCATTTTATGGGAAATTCATGCCTTTAAAAGGATATTCATATTATGATAGTTTATACATTTTTTTGCCAGTTGTTAGGTTTATGAGTGGATTATATTAACCTGAATTCCTTCTGTGTCTGTGCATGTTACCAGAATTCTTTCTGGCTGACACAGCTTTTCTGAGGAGCTTGAAAGCTTGAAACGCTGTGTCCTTCCTTTCCAGAGGAACTGGCACCTATTTCACCCACCAGCAATGCTGAAAGTCTTTTATCTACCTTAGATAATGTGTTGCTTCAAAGTGTCTCAAATAACTCAGACACACAGACTAATTTTTTTTCTAGTCTAGACAAATCTTTTTTTTGACACTGCATTAGCCATCATCTGAAGTGTTTGAAAAAACATTTTCAAAGCTGTATGGAATTTCTTTTCTACAGTTTGCATCCTTGTTTCTGCATGAGGTGATGTGCACAGATGTGTGATGTTTTCGTTGCACTCTGTGGGGTGCCGGGTTGTTTCCCACCTCCTCTCCCCAAAGTATTACAGGTGCATGGGCCCCTTCCTGCTGCTGGATCTTCTAAGGATTTCTCTTCTAGGTACTAAGGTGTTCACCTGTGTACTTCAAGCATGTAGTGAAATTGATCCAGTGAATTTGGTGCTTTTCAGAATTGAGCCCTCAGGATTTGTTATGCGTGAAGAAGCACGTGTTAACCTTTTTGAATGCAAATCTCTTGTCTTACTGTTTAATTTTGTACCTTGGCAGCTCTTGAAGAGTACATGGCTAGAGCACTATGCATCAAGCTCAGCAAACCCAGGAGTGTTTGTGCTGCTGGGCTGTGGCACCGTGTCCAGCACGTGTGGCCAGCTGGCCAGTTACCCTCTGGCTCTCATCAGAACACGCATGCAGGCCCAAGGTCAGTTCTCCTTCCTGAAAATGCTTCTGTGGGGTCACATGAAAATTGTATCATGTGGGATAGCTCTAGCACAGACATAGGAATAAAAAAAAAAACAACTTGGAAAAACTAGGGACGTATCTGGAAAATTCTTCCTAATGTTGGTCCTTTCTGCTTCTTACCCCCAACACTGTTGTTCTTTATACTCAATTTAAAAAGGAACATTTCAAGCACTGGTTCTTTATATATTCTGAGAGCCAATTCCATACAAGACTACCAGACACAGGCCCTGTCATAGTCTGGAAGCACTCTTCTAAACTTTACAATGTTTTCTGAATTCTAGAGATTAAATGATAGAGCTTGAATTGTCCTGAGAGGGCAGACAGCAATGTTTGCTCTGTAGGGTATTTCATTAGGATAGTTTCATAGTCGAGATTTTTGTTTGACAGGTTTCTGCAGACTTAAGGATGGGAGCCTAGATTTCCAAAGGAACATGGGTGGATAATGCTTTCCACTGGGATTTAGACACATGGATATCTCCCAAATGTCTGGGATTAAAACATCTCTTTTCAGTGGACCTGAGATAGTAGGCTTATGATCCAGGTGTTTGAGACTTGGTCGAGATTTTTAATATTACTAGAACTGTTTTATAACACATTATCTTTTTGTTCTAGCCTCAGTGGAAGGAGCTCCACAGTTAAGCATGGTTGGTCTCTTTCAAAGAATTGTTGCTACAGAGGGACTCCGAGGACTTTATAGGGGCATAGCCCCTAATTTTATGAAAGTGCTTCCCGCTGTCAGCATCAGCTATGTTGTATATGAAAAAATGAAACAGAATTTGGGAATAGCATGAAATGAAGGAAAGAGGTGAGATGCTTCTAATGCTGTTGGAAACACCAAAACAATAATGTTTTCTCAAGTAATCTGCTCTCACAATTAGAGACAGATTTTTATAGAGAGATGCTGCGACTTCCACATTTGTCCTTAAGTGGGAAGAAACTTTCTTAAATTTTGGTTCACCATTTTTAAACAGATACCTATATTGCACTTTAAAATGTCACTGAGTTAAAAAAAAAAATCAAGAAACTGTCTTTAAATCAGCAGTATGTTCTTATATTTAGGAAATCATGCTTATTTTACTCATTGGGATTTTTTAATTTGTCCTTTCTAAACATGTATTTGTCTTGGATGAAACCAAAGGTAGGAGAAGTTTATACTGCCTTGAATATATGAAAGTGACTTTGTGTTTTGTCATGCTGCCTACACTCAAGCAATTCACAGGCGACATTTTGCATGCCTAGAAGTAAGCACTTTTGTTATTTTTGAAGACTGAATGTTAAGTTCATAAGAAATAGCATCTTGGATGCACACAATGATGGAATAACACGTTAAAATGTAGCCCATCACCTTTGTCTTCAGGCAAACCTTTTTATTTTTAATTATTTAAAGAGCCTGAGAAACTGCTGTTCTGCAGAATCAGAATACCTCAAATGGATTTACACGGTATTTTTGTAATACAATCAGCAATTTTGATAACTTGCTTCACTGGACCTGCTTTTCATTGCACTTGTAAATGTCAGCACCATTAACTATAGCATAATTTGGGTTACAGCTGCATGTTTTATAGGATCATAATACACGGGAACAGAAAAAGATTGGATGTTAGATCCATTCCATACAAGTGCAAGTTGCTATTTAAAAACAGGATGGAGGATCCAGTATGAAGCTGGTTGTAATTCCAGTACAGCCAATGGTAAGCTGTTCATAGCTCTGGGAACAGGAATGCTTGTCATTTTGGACTCTCCATTCTTTCCCTTATTCAGAGGGCTACATCCACTCTGTGCTTTTAGCCAGTAGAGGATTGCATTATTATGTAAAGGATTTTTACAGCTTTGTCATGCGAGATCAGTCTTCTGTGCACATTGGCTGTGGGTGTGAAATTGGGATAATAAAATACTGAAGTGTTTTGTCCAGGTGACCAAGTGGCAGTTCTGACCTCAGGTGCCCATCAGATTGGTGTTAATGTAGCATGCAAAGCAAAGCATGCATGCAGACCTGCTAGTGCTTGAGAAACAGCTCCTCCTCAAAAAACAAAGCAGCCCTTCCTCAATGCAGAACTTTAGGCATTTCCATGTACAAGTCCTTCCAAAGTGACTTCCTTTTTTTTTTTTTTTTTTTTTTTTTTTGTGTGTGTGTCTGGAGGGGCACACAGTTGCCTTCAGGCCTGAACACTGAAATAAATTAACAATTATTACCAGACTCTTTTTCTCCTTTCTGTAATGTGTAGTGTCTTAATCTTGGTAAATTCGAGATTATACTTACCTTGACCTTCTAAAAGCAACTGCTCTTAGACCACTTTCTGAAATTGGATTACTGAAGGAAGAACTTTATTCTGTTAAGGTCATTAAGGGTCTTCTTTTTAATTCTTTCTTTTTTTGGGTGGGCATGAGGGGTGCATTTTTTTTTTTTTTGTTATTTTTGTTGTTTTTTTAAGCAGAAAAATAAGCAAGCAAAAATAACTGCCTGAATCTCCCTTGTCTACATATGCTTTGGGCCATATTTTTCAAACAGCAATCACATGTAAATTTGTGTTCAGTGCTTCCATGGCTGATGTTTATTCTCCATAAACTGATGCATAGCAATTCCATAAAATCTGTGTTATAGAGTTTTTTATCACATTTCAGAAAATGGCAGCTCTAGCTGTATTTTGGCCTTCCCTTTAGGGAAACGTTGGACTTTGCACTTTAGAAAAAAAAAAGTCATTCTATCCAAATAATTTGTATGTATAATGCCTTTCTGACCAGAGTTTTCCTTGGTTTTGCCAATATCTTTGTACCTTTGTGGGATTTGTGAGATCAGTTGCTGGTAATTTTGTTTGACTGTGACCAATGAGCAAATGTATTGTGTGTGTGATGTAAAGATGACTTCAGCATTTCTATCTTCCAGACTTGTTCCATTGTTTATAGTGTGCAAGTGCCATTATGAGTATTGAAATCATGGTGACCTTTTCAAATGTTGAAAAGATGAGCTGTTTCAGATTTGATTTTTCATTATGTGCCTTGATGATGATGACTGTGGTCAATTGTGTATTCTTTGTCTCTTAAATGTATGTTTACCTTTCTAGCTCCATAAAACTACCAGTTTCTAATAAATCTTTGTTTCCTTATCTGGCTGGAGTGTGCTGATGTGGTTTTTTTTCAAGGTCTGATAGATGACACTTCTTTATTTCATTACGTGCATAATACTCAATGTAAAAAATGGAAGCAATTGATCTAAAAGTAGGTTTCAGACTAGACTATGCTTTGCTATTACACTGACACTTGAAAACAGTTGGAGATAGTAAATTTCCATCCCGTTTACTACTGTCTCATTGCTTAATGAAAGACCACATGTTTAATATTTTTGCTGTTCTTTGAACTATTAGCCAATAATTTGCTTCTGTGTATGTTGCGTGACAGAACTCTTCATAATCGGGGACAAACATACTTGCTTGTATTACTGCTGATCTTGCTTTGTTGTTAATCTTACTTGTTAGTCAAAGGATCAATATAAAATCTTTTCAAGGTAATTGACTTAATTTACTCTGCATGTGTAGTATGGCTATGCTGCTAAAAGCTTGTTAGCAGCCAGCTTTGACAACTCCGTTTGAGGTTTTCACACCAATCCTTCAAATGTTAAAGATAATTGTAAACAAATTAGGGGAAGCTTTTCTTGTAATGCAAGATTTAGAAGTTTTCTTTTAAGTAATGGAAGAGGTAGATGCACAGTGTATGATTCCTGACTAAGTGAACAATTTGATCTTCAATTTGACTTGAGACAAGAATGCTTTTAATCGCAAATGCTCGGCAAGAAGAGCCCAGAAGGGAAAGATTATTTGTTTTCCCTTCAAGATGTATGTGGAGTGTGACAGCTATCCAGTACCATTAACACTAGAAAGCACTGCAGAAATGGCATGAAATCTAAAATGGGTGTGTCTTTCCCTCTTGATTGTGGTGGGCTTCCTGGCAGGGTATGCCTGCTGCAGCAGGGGCATTCCTTACAGTGGCACCAGCTGGGCCCAAGCTGCCTGGCACACCTGCTCATGGAAAGGTGAACTCTGTGTGCTGAAAGCCCCTTGGCACATTTGTTTCCCTTCTGCTAAAGAATGCCTGGTGCCCAGCACTCCCAGTGAGACTGGTGTGGGCCTGCCTGGTGCCCAAATTGGCCTTCAGAGGCCCAGGCTGAGGTGACTTCTGTCCTTTCCTGTCTTGCTTCTGAGCTGGCCGCACTCGCTGGTACAGGCAGGATTGGCAGCTTTCTCTTTGTGACTTTCTGATTTTAAGCAGTTGGGTAAGGTGTGCAGCAAGAAGTGTGTTGCAGTAAGTAGTATTGCTGTGTATAAATTACTAAAATCTCAACCTGCAAGTTGTTTGCTGTGCAAGGAAGTGTGGTTTTTAAATGCTTCCCCTTCTGATGTCAGAGTTGCCTTGGGAACGGCTTTTAGGACTTGAAATAAAACAAGATACTGATGTTAAACTGTACCTTGTGGAGAACATAATTTATAAGAAATGGATATTTAACACAGAGGAATTTGGGAATACTGATAGTCTTGGTGTGCAACTTAGGACTAGCTTCTAAGCCCTCTTGGTATCTGAAAATGTGTTGAAGTATTGCCTTTTTTGTCAATATTTGTTCAGGGTAAAAATTGTCTGTGTTTTGGCAACTAAATAAATGCTTGAGTATTGTGCACCTCAGCTCTTACACATTGCACCTGCTTTGCTAAAGGGCTAACAGGGAAGTCTGTTGTGTACTGTGTAAGTTTTAGAAAACATCCACAGTGTGTATACACATATGCATTTATATCTATTTATGTATACACATGTATGAAACCTTCTCTTCTTTGCACCAAGTTTGTGCATCTCCTTTGTGCAGCTGCTGGAACAGCTTCCAGAATGGTCTTTTACTTGAACACTCCTGGAGCTCTGAAACTGCTGTCACTGCAGAGCTTTCCCCTGCGAGCTCAAAGTAGGAGACTGAGAAGTAAGCTCTCCTAAATAAGGTGTCAGTGGAATTCATGCTAAACCCCAGAATGGTTTGTCCCCCCTGGGCTCATATGGACTGGAATGTCTAGTGCCCATCTTGGCTTGCAAGGTGGGAGTACAGTAGATGACCTTTTGGATGGGTTCTCCTGCCATTTGAAACTAAGCCTTTTGTTAGCATGCTGGCCCTGTAGTTTAGCTCTTGCTGAGGCTCTGATACAAAAGAACTCACGTTTTCCCTAAAGTAAATGCCGTGGAGTTTAAGTGTTACAGATTTGTGTATAAACCACTCCTCCTCCAGCCTAAAGAGCCCCTCTCTGGGCTGTTCGCAGGAATCCTGCAGGCTCGGACTGCATTCCAGCAGTGCCATCTACTGTCCTGTTGGAACACCCATTTCTCAGGGGCTGGCTGTCAGGCTCAACGCTGGAGTTCATTCCCTGCAGTTATTATCTTCACAGCAGAGGAAAAGCAGTTTTATAGCAGTGCAGGATAAGCCCAGCTAAGCCATGTTTTTATCACAGAACCATGGAATCTGTTGGATTGGAAGGGAACTGTTGATTTGCTGTTGGCCCCAGTGTGGGTCTCTGTGATGGCATGTCCCTGCAGCCCTCCCCATGCCTTTGTGCCATGTGAGCTGCAGTTTGGTAATGGGGCCATTTTGCTTTCCCTAATTAAACAAATTCCTTAACTTTATCTGGCTTGCTGTGTAGATGCAGCAACAGCCTCTGCCTCTTCCAGCAGTTCCATTCTTTGCATTGGTACCACTTTTACAGGTGATTTGTGGATGTTTGCTCCATCTGACCCTACTGGGTTACCACAACACAACTTCATGGATTTTAAAGCCCACACTCTTAGCTCCTTTTACAGCCTCCTCTGATAACTGCAGGCCAATTATCTTCATTAAATTGCTTCAGTGCGTTTCTGTATCTGTCACATTCATTCCTTCCAGTGTAGAAAACCTTTCAAACAGTTGGGCCAGGCAATAACTTCTCCTCCAGTCTAAAGGAGGAGAAGTTCAGAGGCTGGGGTGTTTTAATAAGACTTGGTTTACAAATAGGATTTCTGAGTAATCTTGGTGGTACAGATTACTGTCTCAATCCTGGCAGTAGCTCTGAAGCCATCCTTCTGAAAATAGATGCATATTAAAGATGTCACCTTTGCACAATAAATTCTAAAGCTAGCAATTCAGATTTTGTACGTATCTCAAATGTGAAGGTTTTTACTGTCAGCTCAAAGATTGCTTGCAGTATACAGGGAAGAGTTACATTTTAGAATTCCTTTCCCAAGACTTGATTCTTTTTTCTCACTAGCTGGACAGATTTTGCAAAGGTTTCAGTAGTTAAGAAGGATTGACATGCAATTGCAAATTTTGGTGGTGATGAGGAAGGCTATAAAATTCTGACTCGTGCATCACCACAGTGATCTTGTTCATAACAGAAGTTCTGAGATTTCTCTCTCTGGCTTAGGAAAAGGTTGTGCTGTGTGGGTGGAAAACTCCTGGACTCCCCAAAACTCCATGACTTGCTCATACAAAGCCTTCTGCCTCTGGGGTGGCAGCAGTATGTAACCTATCCTCATTAAGTGCCTGTACTAATGAATGAGTGACAGTGCACACATCTGATCCATCTGCCACATAAATGTTTCATTTTTCTTTTGCCAATCAGCCATAGTTTGGCAGATGCTGCACAGCAGAAAAAAAGCTGCAAGTGTGGTGTTGCATTTCTCCACAGGGAATTGGTGCTGGAGTAGGAGCATTTCTGAATCAGTCTCGACACTGCCATCCTCTTGAAGTTAATTTGGCTTAGACATCAAATATTACTCACTGGTCCCTTAAGGAGTATCTCATTTCAGTTTGCTTCTCCAGTTGCTTTCTCTATCCTAGAGAAAAAATGGGTAAAGGAAGAGTTTTATTCAGTGTTCTCACTTGTTCCTGCAGACTCAATGTCCATACCTTGCTGTGAGGCATTTGCTGGGCTGTTATCTAATGGCACTCATTTCCACAGAATGGCATTTTGATGGGAAACAGTGTGACACTGTAGATAAGAGTGTCTTGCAGATGGAGATTTTTATCTCAGTTCTGCTACTGATTTTA